TAAGGCTGAGAACGAGGGAAAACTGCCGGGGACGGGTCAGGAGGAGGAAGCGGAGGACCCGAGATGGGAGGAGAGGGGGAGGAGGAAGGAGAGCGAGAGGGGAGACCGAGGGCCCGAAGACCAGAGACAGGAGGAGGAGGCGGCGGCTGCTGCTGCTGCTGCTGCTGCTGCGGCGGGTGCTGCTCCTCCTGCTGCTGCAGCGGCTGCGCCTCCTGCTGCTGCTGCGGCTGCTGCAGCTGCTCCTGCTGCTGCTGCTGCTCCTCAAGCCGCTGCAACTCCCTCTCCTCTCTCTCCAACTCCAGCTGCTCCTCACGGGCACGGCGAACACGAGCCTGGTGCTGGGTCGGGTAGGGGTGGGGGGGAGGAGTAGTGTCGGGGGCTGCGGCAGCCCCGGGACCGCCCTCCAAAGCACCTGGTGCACCACCCCCAGAGTCAGCACTACCAACAGCAACACGACCAGGCTCACCAGGACCCGAAGAGGGTGCACCCGCACCCTCAGACGTAGCACCCCCAAAGTCAGCAAGACCAACACCAGCTCCCGGAAGACAAGAGTCTCCTGCAACCACGGGCTCAGCTCCAACTCTAGCACCCCCAGAGCTAGCTCCTATAGGGCCCTCTCCACGAGCACCGGCTCCCGCAGGGACTGCCGCGTGCTGCGAGGAGGACTGCGGGGAAGGAGGCTGCACCTGAGGGGCTACCAAGGGGGGAGGGGTAGCCTGGGACACACCTGACGGGGCAGGACCAGGGGGGGGAGGCTGCACCGGGGGAGCAGGAGGGGGAGCGGAAGTCAGGAAGAGAGGGGGAGGAGGAACCGGGAGACCTCGACTGGGGTACCTGACGTAGTAGGGGGTGGACTCCTCGAAACGGACGTCACGGGAGTCAAAGAACCGGTGAGAGGGAGGGTGGTAAAAGGTGAAGTCAGAGGAGTCCTCAGGGAAACCAGGCGAGAGGCGAGAGCTTGTCCGTGGAAGTGTCGCGGACAAGAGCCAAGCAACCCCAGACACGAAACCTCGACGCAACACCAGGGGACCCGGTCCAAGGATTGGTCGCTGAAGCCTCTGGCCGAGAGACGCGTGGCCAGAGGTTCAGCTGGTGAGCGGCGTACCTAACCGCGTAGGGCCACAGAAAATGGGGGGCATGGGCGTGAGTCAAGGAGGTGCGGGCGATCTCCATGACCAAGCCTATGCGGCGCTCAGCAACCCCATTCTGCTATGGGGACTCTGGAAGCGTCCAGGACTGACGAATGCCCTGCTCGTGACAGAATCCAGCGAGAATGCTGGAGTGAAACTCACCCCCACGGTCAGAGTGAAGACAGCTGACACGACGACCACGAGTGCCCTCAGTGGTAAGCAACCACCTGATCAGCGTAGAAGTCACCTCAGACTTCTTCACCAGGGGGAACACTGTGGTGTAGCGGGAGTAGTCGTCAACGACCACCAAAAAGAAACGCTCGCGCTCAAGGCCAAGGCGAGGGGCAGGGCTCCAAGTGGAGCGTCTCAAAAGGCTCGGTGGCCGGACGAAGGGAGGAGCAGTGAGGGGTGGCGCGCAGCCGACCCTCGACGCAGGGACCGCACGGCGGTGCAAGCGAAGGGGGCAGCGATGGCAAGACACGTGGGAGGCCTAAGACAAGACGCTGACGAGACATAGCGCGCAGACGAGGGAGGGACGGGTGCCCCGTCCGGTGGTGCCACAGAACGGTGGGGTGTGCAAGCGACCGGCAGGAGCACGACGCAGCAACTGGACCAGACACGGGAACCTGACCAGACACAGCTACCTGGAAGGAAGTAGCAACCTGGTGAGACGCAGGGACCAGACTGGGGGAAGTAACCGGGGTCGGGGGCAGGAGTCGCTGCTGCTGCTGCTGCCCACCAGAGCCAGTGTGAAGTGTGTAGAGACCAGAGACCGGCTCGGCAGTAAAGGTGGCAAGAGGTGAGTAAGTGTCACCGTCAACACAAACTGCCGTCTCACCAGAGGGCTCAATCCACACACCTACGTGCTGACTCACAAGAGGCCTCACGCCCACCAAGTTCCTCGAGAACGAGGGGATGTGGAAGCCAGTCAGAGACCCAGAGGGAATAGCAGAGCAAGGAAGAGTAGTGGTGTAGCGAGCAGTGACTGGTCCCGAGGTGGGATCAGCCAGGGCCACAGAGACTGGCGCAGGAAGTGGAGTAAGTGTCGTGTGGTCGCGGAAGAAGCAGTGCGAAGCCCCAGAGTCCAGAGTGAAAGACAGCGAAGCGTCCTCCGAAGTAGCGCCTAGACTAGTGTCTACACAAGTGCCTACACTAGCAACTGAGAAGCAGACATGCCCCAAAAAGTGGAGCCGTACGTCTGAACAAGAGGTAACCAGTCAGGGGCAGGGCCGCCAACGCCGAAGGCCAAGCGAACCGTGTCAGTGAGCTGAGCAAAGCACTGACCAGGAGGGTGGGTGCGACCACAAGGCTGGCCTCGGCGAGCACCTGTCAGAACCTGGTAGGTGCACGAAGGGTGAACAACACCTCGCTGAGGCTGACGCTGTCCTGGCCCTGAAACCTGTTGCTGCCGCTGCTGCTGCGGGGGCTGCTGCAAGGGGAGGGGCTACTGCTGCTGCACCTGCTGCTGCCGCTGGGCCAGGTACCACGCCGCTGCTCCACCCACCGCGGCCGGCAGACCAGGAGGAGGCTGACGAGTCCGGGTGTCGCCTCCACCAGCTGCAGTAAGGGAGTCACTGGCCGCTGCACGAGACGCCTCTCCAGGCCCTGCGCTCCCGCCGCCACCGGTCGGCACGCCACTCCCACCACCTCCGCCGCCAACGCCGCCACCGCTGCCGCCGCCTGCACCCTGACCGCCCCTCCTGCCACCCCTACCTTGAGACCGCGACGTAGTCATAACAGCAGCTGCGGTCACGTCAGTAGTGGCAGTGGCTAGCGAGGCAGTAAAAGTGGGCAGCTGAGGGACAGTGCACCTGTGAAACAGTGGAGGGGGCACAGCACCAGAGGCGGAGGCTACTGAGCGGAGGTTTCTCTCGACGTCCTTGAGCGCAGACTCAAGGACCTCGATAGTGAGCTCACTAGGGTGCTTCAGAAGAAGCGTGTCACGAACCGAGGCAAGGCGGTCATGGAGGCTAGTGGCAATGAAGCAGATAGTAATCGCCATAGGAAGGGGAAGCAGTGCAAGCTGTATATCAGTGCAAGCAGCGCGGTAGCTAGAATCGAGCGAGCGGAGATGAGCAATCAAGTCAGCAGAGCGCTCAAACGAGGCGAGGTTAGGGAACAAGAAAGGTAGGAAGAGGCGGCCAAGGGAGACAGTGGTGGGAGTAGCGTAGCGGGCCTTGATCGCAGTCAGGAACTCACTAGCAGTGCGAACCTGAGTGAAGTGGGCCTCCTCAGACTCAGGGAGGAGGCTGCTAAGAGCGATGCAGGCCGCAGCGTCACGCGACTTCCACGCCGTCAGGTCAGCACGCTCGCGGGTAAAGAGGTCTCTGGCGGCGTCGTCAGGGGCAGGGCCTAAAGGCGTAGGGTCGTCGGGCGCAAGAAGGTCACCAGTAGCGTGCGCCCAGAGGGACTCGCCCGCCTGGACTTGACTCTCTAAATGGCGACGCACGCGTAGGAGCCAGACCGGAAACTCGAGCGGTCTACCGTCAGCGTCAAAACGAAGAACCCTAGGGGTCGCCATAGCAAAAGCAAAGAGGTGGAAAGTGCTGCTGCTGAAACACAGAGAGAGACTCAGAGCGACTCACAGAGAGCGACTCAGTAGGGCGCTACGGGACATAGGGTAGGGCGCTACGGGACATAGAGTAGGGCGCAACACTGCTGGACTAGGAGGATGCAGCGCCACGGGCAGGGGTAGCGTGACGCGACGCAGCGGGACAGGACGGGCAGCGCGACACAACGCGACGCGACGGGACGGGACGGACTGCGCGACGCGGACGGGCAGCGCGACGCGGACGGACGAGACGGGACTGGACGGACGGACGGGACGGGACAGACGGGACGGGACGGGACGGACGGACGGGACAGACAGACGGGACGGGATGGACGGGACGGGACGGAAGGACGGGACGGACCGACGGGACGGGACGGACGGGACGGGACGGACGGACGGGACGGGACGGGACGGACAGACGGGACGGGATGGGACGGACGGACGGGATGGACGGACGGGACGGACGGACGGAACGGACGGACGGGACGGGACGGACGGCGCTGTCAAACATTATATATGTTGTATTTGTGTAGGCTACAGTGGGTTAGCCTTTAGGGGGTACATCATTCTAGGGTTAGGTATTTGTACTCCCACTTGTTTCTAGTCCAATGACTTCTTGTTTCTAACATGGTATTAAGAGCGTAGGTTTAGACCTAGGATCGCTCCTTAGGGCCCACTGTCACGAGACGAACTTAGCTAGGAACGGGTTTAACTAAGGGCCTAGGCTTAGTAGCCTAGGCCAAGCGGGTGTCGAGGGAGTTGTGCCAAGAGAGAATCGAGAATGTGTGTCTTCACTATAGGTTTGCAAGAACATATAGCAAAGAAACAAAGAGGTGCACCACCACAACAAAGAAACATAACTACACTAAAGCTAAAGCTACAGGCAGTTATAAACATATATAAATATATATCGCGACACACCCCCTTAACTGCCTGCAGCACATAGCTAGAGCAAGTCACACCCCCTGAAGGGGCAGGTGCGGTGGGAGACGGCAGAGGGGTACGTGAGGAGGAGGAGGCAAGAGGAAGAGAGGAGAGGAGAATAGATAAGAACACAGGAGGAGGTGAGTGGGGGATGAGGAGAGGAGGTGGGGGGTGGCCGCAGCGTCCCCTCTTACTAACCCCCTTTTACGAAAGGGGGGGTTGAGTGGGGGATGAGGAGAAGAGGTGGGGGGGTGGCCGCAGCGTCCCCTCTTACTAACCCCCACATCCCCACCCCCAACCAACCACCCGCCCTCAACCTCACCCCCCATTTCAGTCGCCCCCTGGAACCGCACTCCCTCCACCCCTGTCTTCCTCCATACCTCTCCCAACCCACGATGGTCCCTGTACAGTCTTTCACAGGTGGGCTGCTGGGCACAGGTGGGGCTGCTGGTCACAGGTGGGGCTGCTGGTCACAGGTGGGGCTGCTGGTCACAGGTGGGGCTGCTGGTCACAGGTGGGGCTGCTGGTCACAGGTGGGGCTGCTGGTCACAGGTAGGGCTGCTGGTCACAGGTGGGGCTGCTGGTCACAGGTGGGGCTGCTGGTCACAGGTGGGGCTGCTGGTCACAGGTGGGGCTGCTGGTCATAGGTGGGGCTGCTGGTCACAGGTGGGGCTGCTGGTCACAGGTGGGGCTGCTGGTCACAGGTGGGGTTGCTGGTGCTGGTGCTGGCGGCTGGCGCTGGTGCTGGTTCCTGGTGCTGGCAGCTGGCACTGGGGCTGGTTCCTGATGCTGGCGGCTGGCGCTGGGGCTGGTTCCTGGTGCTGGCGGCTGGCGCTGGTGCTGGTTCCTGGTGCTGGCGGCTGGCACTGGGGCTGGTTCCTGGTGCTGGCGACTGGCGCTGGGGCTGGTTCCTGGTGCTGGCGGCTGGCGCTGGGGCTGGTTCCTGGTGCTGGCGGCTGGCGCTGGGGCTGGTTCCTGGTGCTGGCGGCTGGCGCTGGGGCTGGTTCCTGGTGCTGGCGGCTGGCGCTGGGGCTGGTTCCTGGTGCTGGCGGCTGGCGCTGGTGCTGGTTCCTGGTGCTGGCGGCTGGCGCTGGTGCTGTTCCGCCACCACTCCCTTCCCCTCCTCTCTCTCCTTTCCACAGCGTCCCACCGCCACTCCCTTCCCCTCCTCCCTCTCCTCCCCATGGCGACCGCCGCTGCACACGCAAACAGTCGCGACGGGGGGGGGGGGGGGGTGACGGGCAGGGGGCGGGGGGAATGCGACGGGCAGAGCGGGCGAATGAGCGGCTGGGGCGATCGCCAGTGCTCTGGCGATCGTCGCTGGCGTTCCCCCGTCACTCCTATCCCCTCTTCCCTCTCGCCCCCACAGAGTTCCGCCGCCACTCCCATCCCTTCTTCCCTCTCCCCCCCACAGCGACCGCCGGTGCGACGGGCGAGGTGCAAGGTGGCGCTGGCTGCAGTCGATGGCGCAAACGCGATCGCGGGCCGCTGGCGACTTCGCTGGCGACTTCGCTGGCGGGTCGCTGGCGGTGGGTCCGCTGGCGTTCGCCATAGCGTCCGCCGCGCCCGTCGCGCTGAGAGCCGCGACGAGGCAGGCGACGGGGGGCAGCGCGAGCAGCAGGGAAAAAAAAAAGATACGCAAGGTGCGGATTTCGCGCCACTAACTGTAGCAGTCGCGAAATGTGGTGGGCCCATAAACGAAATAGGTCCTAGGACGAACCACTCTGTTACCATGTCATGAGACGAACTTAGCTAGGAACGGGTTTAACTAAGGGCCTAGGCTTAGTAGCCTAGGCCAAGCGGGTGTCGAGGGAGTTGTGCCAAGAGAGAATCGAGAATGTGTGTCTTCACTATAGGTTTGCAAGAACATATAGCAAAGAAACAAAGAGGTGCACCACCACAACAAAGAAACATAACTACACTAAAGCTAAAGCTACAGGCAGTTATAAACATATATAAATATATATCGCGACACCCACCACACCGTACGACTGTCTACTTACTAGCGCCCTCGTGCGCCCTACTGTCGGAGCGCCCTCGAGCGCCTCCCCTCAGCGCCCTCGTGCGCCCCTCTTTCACGGCCCCGTAAGGCCCCGCGACCCGCAACTCGCCCCTTAGCGACCTGTGCGCCGCCCCTTAGAGGCCCCGTCGGCCCCGTCGACCCCACGCGCGCCGCCCCTTAGAGGCCCCGTCGGCCCCGTCGACCCCACGCGCGCCGCCCCTTAGAGGCCCCGTCGGCCCCGTCGACCCCACGCGCGCCGCCCCTTAGAGGCCCCGTCGGCCCCGTCGACCCCGTGAGCCGCCCCTTAGAGGCCCCGTCGGACCCGTCGACCCTGCGCGCCGCCCCTTAGAGGCCCCGTCGGCCCCGTCGACCCCACGCGCGCCCCTCCCTTAGCGGCCCCGTCGGCCCTGTCGACCCCCACGCGCCGCCCCTTAGCGGCCCCGTTGGCCCTGTCGACACCACGCGCCGCCCCTTAGCGCCCCGCACGCGACAGCCACGGCCTCGCCAGAACCAGGCCGCCCGACCCGAGCCGCCCGAACCGAGCCGCCCAGCCTAAGCCGAGCCGCGCCGCCCTCCCCGTACTGAGCAGCACTCTCTGGACCGAGCCGCCCTACCTGAGTCGTGCTGCCTACTGCTTTTAGGGTTCGCCTGCTACTACTACTGCTACTGCTCCTGCTACTACACTGCTGCTCCTACTGCTACTATGGCTAGCCCTCCTGTGCTAGCTTTCGATGCTGAGGGCCGCCCAGTGAAGTTTGACACCTGGCTAGATGACCTGCACCTCTTCCTACAGCTCACTGCCAAGGAGGACATCTCACTGTACGATCACGCCCTAGGCCATGCCACTGCCCCTGCTACTACTGCTGACAGCACTACCCGCTCACAGTGGCAGACTCGTGACGCCCACGCTCGCTTTGCTATTCGCAACTCCCTGCCGATAGATGAGCGCGAGCATTTTGGCCAGCACAAGACTGCACAGGCACTGTACACTGCTGTCGTTGCCCGCTACTCCTCACCTGCCTCTGCCGCGCTAGGCCGTCTCTCACTCCCCTACCTGTTCCCCGACCTGTCCTCCTTCCACACAGTCGCTGACCTCATCACGCACCTCCGTACTAGTGAGGCCCGCTTCCGTGCCGCTATGCCTGATGAGTTTCTTGCCACGAACCCCCCCCCGCTCTGGCTCACTCACTACCACCTAGTCACCCGCCTCCCTGACACTCTACGTGCAGTCAGGGATCACTTCCTAGCTCGCTGCCCCACTGAACTCACCATTGCCCTCCTCGAGAAGGAACTACTTGCAGCTGAGGCTAGCATAGTCGCTGTAGGTGCCTCTCGTGGCGACCCCCGCACCCCTTTCTTTGAGGGGTGTTCCCCTTCCCCCCTTCTTCCCTCTGTAGCCTCTGCTTCTGCTATCGACCTCCTTGGTGCTGAGAAGGTCGGGACTGCGTCCGCTTCGAGCTGGCGCCGCAGCGGCAAGGGCAAAGGGGGCAAGGGAGGCGGAGGTGACGGCGGGGGAGGCGGTGGTGGGGGCGGTGGCGGCGGTGGGGGTGGCGGTGGGGCTGGAGGGACTAGTGGCAGCAGTGGGGGTGGTGGCGGCAGCGGCGGGGGAGGTGGCAGGGGCGGGGGCGGTGGTGGGGGCGGCGGTGGACGCGGCGGCGGCAGGGGAGGGGGTGGTCGAGGAGGCGGCGGCGGCGGTGGTGGTCGTGGAGGCGCTGGCAGTGCCCAGAGCCAGCAGCACACTCCGTCGCCCCAGGAGCTCCGTGAGTGGTACTCTCAGCACGGGGGTGGGGGTAACCTTAGCTGCACGTACGTCATCCGCACTGGTGACCGCACTGGTCAGACGTGTGGGAGGGCGCACACCACGCAGCGCTGCTTCTCCCGCCTCGACGACGCTTGGCGTACTCAGTTCCCTGATGCCACTGAGCTGCCCCGCTGGGCTGATCTGATGAAGAAAAACATTGATATCTATGATCTAGACTTTGATGCTATTCTCACTGCCATGTATGTGATGTCTACTAGTGGAGAGGGTGCTCAGTACCTGCGTGTTCCGCCCAACCCGGGCATTCGGACCAGTGAGGCTGCCGCTCTAGGTGCTAGTGCGTCTGTTGCCCTAGGTGCTGGTGAGGCTGCTACTCCAGGTACTCGCCTGTCTGCTACCCCAGGTGCCGGTGAGGCTGCTGCTCTAGGTGCTAGTGAGTCTGCGCCCCCTGGTACTGAGTCGACTGAGGCACTGCACACCTTCACACTGGACTCAGGTGCTTCTCGCTGTTTCTTTCGTGACCGCACTGCCCTTGAGCAGCTTGCTCGGCCAGTTGCTGTCTCCCTCGCTGACCCCTCTGGGGGTCCGGTCATTGCGACCTCCTCCACTGTCCTTCCTTGTCCTGCGGTCCCGTCGGGCACACTGTCAGGTCTCCACCTCCCCTCGTTCTCTACGAACTTGGTGGCGGGTTGTGCGCTCCAGGACGGGGGTGTTCACCAGTTCACCCCTGCCTACGAGCGCGTGACACACTGCACGTGTGCTCGGACGGGCCGTCACCTGGCTACCTTCACTCGGCAGCTGGGGTCGGACCTGTACACACTGACCACTGAGTCCCCTCAGGTAGCTGCGTCTGCGTCTGCGTCAGGTCAGCTGTCGGCCCCCTGCTCGTGTCGCTCTCTGGCGCACGAGACCGTCCTCTGGCACCACCGACTTGGTCACCCGTCCGTGCAGCGCCTTCGTTCCATGCATAAACGGTACCTTGTCTCTGGTCTTCCCAGGGTTCTCCCTCCCCTCCCACCCTCGCCTGCTCCTCCCTGTCTTCCCTGTGTTGAGGGGCGGCAGCGCGCCGCTCCTCACTCCTCCTCGTTTCCCCCGACGACTGCTCCCTTGCAGACGCTCCACATGGACGTGTGGGGCCCAGCCCGCGTCCGTGGTCAGGGTCAGGAGAGGTACTTCCTGATAGTTGTTGACGACTACTCGCACTACACCACGGTCTTCCCCTTGCGCACCAAGGGTGAGGTCCCTGATGTTTTGATCCCTTGGATCCGCGCTTCTCGTCTCCAGCTCAGCGAGCGTTTCCACTCGGACTTTCCTGTCCTGCGCCTGCACTCTGACAGAGGTGGTGAGTTCTCCTCCGACCTCTTGGCAGCCTACTGTGCGGAGCACGGCATCCGCCAGTCGTTCACGCTTCCGGCCTCTCCACAGCAGAATGGGGTTGCTGAGCGCCGCATTGGCTTGGTCATGGAGGTCGCTCGTACCTCCTTGATCCATGCGGCTGCCCCCCACTTTCTGTGGCCGTTTGCGGTCCGATACGCTGCGCATCAGCTCAACCTCTGGCCCCGTGTCTCCTTGCTGGAGACTTCCCTGACACTGCGTTGGACGGGAGAGGTTGGCGATGCGTCACGTTTTCGGGTCTGGGGATCTCGAGCTTTTGTTCGCGATACGTCCGCGGACAAGCTCTCCTCCCGCGCTGTTCCTTGTGTCTTCCTTGGCTTTGTCCCGGATGCGTCTGGTTGGCAGTTTTACCACGCCACCTCCCGCCGTGTCCTGCCCTCTCAGGACGTCACTTTTGACGAGTCCGTGCCCTACTACCGCCTCTTCCCCTACCGCACTGCCCCGCTCCCCCCCCCGCCTCTCTTCCTCGTGCCAGGTGCTGCTGTGGTAGACCCCCTCCCCCCTCAGGGTGCCGCTCCCTCAGGTGTGTCCCAGGTAGACCCGGTTGAGCCTGTCGAGGTAGCTGTCGTCCTGCTAGGGGTGCTGAGCCTGAGCGTTCGGAGCCTGGGGTTGCGGAGTCTGGGGGTGCTGAGCCTGGGGGTGCGGAGCCTGCGGGTGCTGAGTCTGGGGGTGCTGAGCCTGGGGGTGCGGAGCCTACGGGTGCTGAGTCTGGAGGTGCTGAGCCTGGGAGTGCTACACCTGGAGGAGCTCTCTCCTCACAACAGCTGCGTGAGTGGTACTTACAGTACTGCAGCCTCAGGAGAGGTACTTCTGGAGCTAGGAGTGCTGCTGGAGCTGGTGCTAGTGCTTCCCCTCCTAGGCGGGAGCTGCCCTCTCCCCAGCGGCTCCGAGAGTGGTACGCGCGACGCTGCAGTCTCCGGAGTGGCGCTCCTAGTGTCGCGGACCCTGGTCCTGGAGGTGCTGCTGCTGCTGGCGGTGCTGCTGGTACTACTGGAGGTGCTGCTGGTACTAGTGCTACTGGTGCTGGTGGTGCTGCTGGTGCTGCGGACCCTGGAGTTAGAGCTGCTGCTGGTGCTGAGGACCTGGGAGTTGGAGCTGCTGCTGGTGCTGCGGACCCGGGAGTTGGAGCTGCTGCTGGTGCTGCGGACCTGGGAGCTGGTGCTGCCGGTGTAGCTGGAGACCCTGGAGCTGGGTGTACTGGTGGTGCCTCTGCTGGTTCTGGAGGCACTACGCGGCCGCGGCCGTACTTCGTTCCGCTCCTTCAGCAGGTTCTTGGTCAGCCGCCTCCCCCTAGTCCTGCTCCCTCTTTAGAGTGTCCTCCGCCTGTCCAGTCGCAGTCACAGTTACCGCCTGCCTCGCCACTCCCTGGTCCTTCTCCTTACAATGGTCCGACAGACG